TATATATATATCTATACATTATTTTTAGATGACGAAATTGAAATCACTCGAAATTTATGGGAAAATTGATACACTATCAATAAATTCTCATCGTCTGACATGAATCTCAAAGTATGACACATATCTCGAGGTAATCTTTTGAGTAAGAAATATTTAAACACAGATAAAGAATCATTCAGAAGCCTGATTTCAACAAATTTACAATCAAACTGACAAGTTTGACAAGATAGACCCAATGGTACTAACATTGTTCTAATCTAAACCAAATCCAGCCTTGATCAAATCATCAAACCATGTTCGAAAGTCTTTTGGACATATTTGGAAGGTCAATCAGATGCTGAATCCAGTGAGTTCATAATCAAATAGAGTGTCTTAACAGTACGAATCCAATGAGCCTAAGATCACTAAATTCCGATATCATAAATGCACTCAAATGTTTATAAAATGTCATTTGATCGAAAAAAGCACTCCGGATTGTCCGAAAAAATTAGTTTATATTTCAACTTTAACTGCACCCAGAACACTATAAATATACCCCACCTCTCTCATCAGGGAGGAGAGCTTCAGACTTAAGAAAGAAATTGAAACTTTGAGAAATAGTCGAAGTTCATCACCACTCCTGCCAACGACGATCGCAGTTGAAGGTAGTTGACCACCGCCGACTGTTGTTGACCAACACAACCACCTGTAGGCCTCCACAGATTGCCATCGACCACCACACATTTTTTACAATAAGTTCATCTATGCATCGAAGTTGTAACTCTAAAGTGTGATCAACCTTTTCCCACCCATGGGATGAGGAACTGTACAAGTAATATCCAATTTATAGTGAATTTTTTTAGCTGTGCTAGGCCCCATAATTTTTTGCCTTTTAGGTTTTTCACGTAAAAATTCTAGTTTCTTTACTAGTTATTTTTTCTCTTCTGAGTGTGTGATGAATCTTCGTACTTCGATTAGATGATAATCTCTACTCTTCTTCCGTGAATTTTCTTGCACGAATCAATAATGATACACAGCCTCTTTTTTCTCTTGCAAGTCTCAACTTAAAATGACAACCATATAGTTTACTATTTCTTACGAGATAAATTTTTGGTAGTAATTTCATTATGTAATATTTAGTATGTGCTGCATGAGAATATATTCTAAAAGTAGACATAGGGTTTTAAAATGTCCTTGTTTTATTTCATTGTTCTATAGCTTTTCTCAAGATTTATATTGGATTTATTTATATTTTATATCTAATTTAATTTTAACATAATCTAGTTTAATTGGTGCTTACTTTTCTTTGATCTATATTTTTATAGTTTATCAATTTTATTAAAAGTTATATTTTTTTATTTTAATTATTTGCAAATAAATGATAAATATATTATTTGAATTAACCAACTTCTTAGATGCATAAAAAGTATATGTTTGTAAACATACGTAAATTAAAATTGTAATCATGTATATGTTTTTGTTCCTTAATATAAAAAATCAAAGTGAAATTACATACTTACCACTGGAAACTTATCAATTCACATATCCAACATCTAAAATTTTATATTTATTTTTCTAACATTCAAAACTCATTAACAACACACAGTAATTCATTCAAAGCTGTTGTTCTCCGTTAAGGTTTAAAAGTTATAAGCTTAAGGCTTCGTCCACTTGCAAATAAGACAGGCTTAGACTACAAATTACATGCAAGAATTTTTACTTATGTGTTTGATATGAAGAAAATAAAATTATTAAGAAACATTATAATAATCATGAAGGATGGGTGGCCATTCGAATAATGATTTTATGCATTCTCTTATAAACATGGCGGCATGACTCATAATATAGGAGAAAGAAATCTTAACCAAATCACTTAACAATAAAACAAAATAATTCGCAGCCCCAAAATGTTTATGAATAATCAATGTTTGAAGAAAAGAAGCATCTCATAACTATTGTGTCCGAACTTTGCACGCATCATAAAGATTTTTATTACTGGGTACTAATTACACTATAAAATTAAATCTTCAGTTTCATTCAAATAAAACCTATCTTTCTCTAAACACGAGATTTTAGAAAAATTTCAAAATTTTTGAAGAGGAATAATCACTGCTAGATATCATTCAATCTTCCACATGAGTGAGGCTCAACGCCGCCGCCGCTGCATCCTGGGACTTCTGACACCCCGGATGACATCAATCATATAAGAAAATCTATGAGGAAAATTTTGTTGGTCCTTGTATTGATAGAAGAGGACAATATCATTAACGCAAAGCTCCATCTCTTTAAAAAAATTATTCCAACCCTCAGTGAACATGTATTGCGGAGGAGTATGGACGAAACATAATTTAAACTTCCATGATTGGTTCGTCCTGTCTTTAAATTCTATCCATATTGGGCCTGTGTTGGAGTTAAATGACTCAAAGCAAGAAATAGCTTGATGAGGTAAAATAAATAAATTCTGAATCTCAACATCAATCAAAAGCAACTCTTTATGAAACATTTCCTTAAAAATGAACCCTTTTTTGACATCCAAGAGAGTAGGCATTACTACAGATTCACAATAGTGGAAGTTGGGGCAATTTTTGGAAAGGAAATGGATATAATTTGGTTCGTAGGAGCCATCCCTAATCATATTAAAGATGACTTCATTGGAGTACAAGCTCTGAAAAGATGGCTCATGAATAGTGACATTCGTTAACAACAAGTTACGAAAGAAAGTATTGCCGGAGAGCATGTGGGATGCGCTATCATAAGCTCGTGCTGCGGCTATTTCGGACATAAACGTTCCCAACGGAATGGAATTGATTTGAGCACCCCAAAGACCATTTTGCAGAGGAAATACACCATGGAACCATGTCGGTGGCGGTGCAAATTCCTGTTGCCCTGCCTGTGAAGATGAAATCAAATGCGATGGGACCTCATTTTGCTGAGCCATACTTACCCCTTGCTCTGCTTGTGTTGATGAAATTATAGACGATGCAGCCTCGCCAGATTGTTGTGGTGCCTCTGCCGATTTGGAGGTATCCATTGGGAAGACCCCTTTTCCCTATCAGAACTGCACAAAGAACGACCATTTTCTTGATTTTTAGTTTTACGAAGAATATTTCTCATGAAATATTCCAATTAAAAAGGAACAAAAAAACATTTTATATGCATATTTTAAAGCAACGGAGTGTCTTCGTGAGTTAGAATATTAGCAGGGACTTACAATGTTGAGAATAAGAATTAGTGCATGGCAATCCAAAAGGTGGGAGATAAAGAGGAAAAGCCAGCCAACTTCGGCGAGAAAGAAGCTCAGATTAAAATGGCTACTGGTATGTATTACCACTTCAATGTGATGTGTGGCAGTGAGTTAGTTCCGGAGAATGAGTATTTCTAGCTTACCGTTTTGAATTCATTCCCTTCATAGGGGTTCTTTTGCAAAAAGATGCTAGTTTTTTATAAAAGCGAAATGACCGGTTCAAAGGAGTGCTTTGAATAGATTTGGTTTGGTTAGCAATGCATGCATGGAATGTTATCGTGGAATTTTATAAATCGAATGATTCATAATTTAATGGCAATAATTAAAGGTCCTTTTTTAATTAAAAAAGTAGAAAAAAGCGGCCATACTTAGATAATTAAAATAATTAAAATGAATCACCACTCATTGGAGCTGGGATAGATGAAAATGAAAGCATTAGGGTTTAGGTCTCAATATTATCTCCTAGCCCAAAATGAAAGAAGAAGAAAAATACTTTATTTTTTTTCCTTGCTAAATGACACGTCCAAACTATGGAAAATTGCTTACTGACCAAAAGAAATATGTTAAGATTCTCATACCTATTTTACACTGATTTTGATGATATTCCACTTTAAAGAAATGTAATTTTGATGTTTTGTTGCAGATATGTTGAATTATGGTCATTTAGAGTGAAAAGAAGCAAATTTGGAGCGAAAAGAACCAACGTATGAAGATTTGAACTTGGCGCCGACGGCCAACCCAACGACACTGACGGCGGGTTTTTCCCGAGAGTTCAGAATCAAATATTCCAGAAAGCCGCCGACGGCGCCCTCGAGGCCGCCGACGGAGAGATCGGCGGTTATCTCAACAATTGCATTGAATGTGGACGATTTTTTAGGGGATGCTTAGGCAACTCTTTCGAAAACTCTTCTACAAATTTAAGAGAAATTTTTGGCCAAAAAAGGAGAGTGTGTAGAGCGTGGAGAGTGTGTCTTCGTGAGTTAGAATATTAGCAGGGACTTACAATGTTGAGAATAAGAATTAGTGCATGGCAATCCAAAAGGTGGGAGATAAAGAGGAAAAGCCAGCCAAATTTGGGGCACAATGTATGAATAAATATCTAAGTGGATATATTAGAGAGAGATAAACTAAATTAAAAAAATGGCTGTTTTACCAATTCAATGTGGTGCGTGGCAGTGCGGCGGTGAGTTGGTTACGGAAGAATTGACTATTTCTATCTAACCGTTTTGAATTCATACTTTCATAGGGTTTCCTTTGCAAAAAGATGTTTTATTTCTTAAAAACAATGTGTCTGGTAAGTTTAAAGGAGTGCGTCGGATATATTTGCTTCGCATTGCATGCATGGAATGTTATCATCAGAAGGATTTTCATGTGAAAACTTTATAAATAAACATGAGATGATCAATTTATATATATGTATATGTATATATACATATACTCATTTTTGAATGGAATGTCAATGATTTGATTATTAAAAATAAACATTAGATGATCAATTTATAATTTACAAGTTGTGTATAAGCATCTGAGATGATCTGACATTGAAATTAATTATTTGATGTGTTTTTTGGTGCCATGCATCCAGAAAATTTTTAGGCCTAGTAATCTGACATCAATATTTTGAGGGTGGAGATGATGAGGAAGAGGAGGGGACACGGGTGGAAGGGAGGTTGAGTAGGGGATTATTTTTTTATTTATTTATGTATTGAATAATTTATTGTTAGCGAACATTATTTTGATTGTGTATTTGTACATTTCATTTGATTTAATTCAATTATTTTTCTTTTATTTCTATATATATCATTTAATTTAATTATTTCTATTGTGCAATATTGAAAAGAAACCTGCCGCCGTCTGCCGGATACTGTTCTCTGGCGTCTACTCGTCGTTGATGGCCCTCTCTCTCTCTCTCTCTCTCTCTCTCTCTATATATATATATATATATATATAAATGGGGCAATTACATACACAGCACACAAATATTGTTATTTACAAATCTAACATCCACTTTCATCCCTTTTTCAAAATCTCACAGAAATATCAAAATTCATGATATATAGTATGTAAGACTATGTGCAGTTTTTACTTCATTTTCTATTTTTCTAGTTTTTTTTTGTTAAAAATGTTCTTTATTTGCTCTTTATTTTAATTAATTTATTAATTAGTTGATCTATAAAATTTCCTCATTTTCTAATTTGCAGGAGCAAAATAAATAAATAATTTTAAGCTTAATTTAATGTACAGGGAATTTAAAATTAGGTTCTTAATTGTAGTCTTTAAAATATTTTTCAACTAAATTAGTTAGCAATAGTTGCTTAAGTTGGGTCAAGTCATTCTGAGTTAGGAAAAAGGAAATTGCGTTCGGAGTCAAGATGCAAAACTGTGTGTGGACAAAAATACCTCGAGTGTTTCTCGTCCTTTGCCCACAAACTAGTGAAACAATATTGATGGGCTCCTAAACAAATCTGATATGCCTCAAATAAATTTATTAGACAGTAGAATGTCTTGCTAAAAAAATAGTGATGTAAAATACAACTAAAATATAATTAAATTTTGACAAATTCATCTATATATCATTGAACTCATATATAATACGTACATAATTAAATTTCTGAATGCCCGTTAGTCTATACTGCCGTGTCATGCTTTTGGTGAACTACATATATATATATATATATATAAATCATATATAATACGTCAAATTTCAATGATCTCCTAAAAGAAGACTTTAAATATTTCTGAATGCCCGTTCGTCTATACTGCCGTGTCATGCTTTTTGGTGAACTATATATATATATATATACATACATATAATCATTTTTGAATGGAATGTCATTGATTTGATTATTAAAAATAAACAAGCAATGATCAATTTATAATTTTCAAGTTGTGTATAAGCATCTGAGATGATCTGACATTGAAATTAATTATTTGATGTGTTTTTTGGTGCCATGCATCCAGAAAATTTTTAGGCCTAGTAATCTGACATCAATATTTTGAGGGTGGAGATGATGAGGAAGAGGAGGGGACACGGGTGGAAGGGAGGTTGAGTAGGGGATTATTTTTTTATTTATTTATGTATTGAATAATTTATTGTTAGCGAACAATATTTTGAATGTGTATTTGTACATTTCATTTGATTTAATTCAATTATTTTTCTTTTATTTCTATATATATCATTTAATTTAATTATTTCTATTGTGCAACTTTACATTTGTTATTTTGTTGTGTTTTATTTTGATTACACAGTTACGATTGCAAGTGTGACTATACATGTCATTTTATAGTGGATTTCTCCAATTACTCAAATGATTATACACAACTTTATTACTATTTTTACAACAAGTTCATCCGTGCGCTAACATTGTTACTTCGAAAAGAGTTCAACCATTTCCTTTCTATAGGATGTGGGACTGTAGATGTCCATTTTATAGTGGATTTCTCTAGTTAGGCTAGACCCTGTGATTTTTTCCTATTTTGAATTTTCCACGTAAAAACTTATGGTATTATTACTAATTTTTTCTCTCTTCTGAATCTTTGTACCACGCTAAGATGATAATCTGTTACTATACTAATGTATTTTTTTTGCACAAATCAATGACGATACACCACCTCTTTGTTCTCGTGCAAGTCGCAACTTAAAATGGCAACCATATAGTCTACTACTTCTTATGAGAAACTTTTATAGTAATTTCATGAGGTAATATTAAAGGCGTGTTATGTTAGAATATATTCTAAAGGTAGACATAGGGTTTTAAAAGGTCCTTGTTTTATTTCATTGTTCTATAGCTTTTCTCAAGATTTATATTGGATTTATTTATATTTTATATCTACTTTAATTTTAACATAATCTAGTTTAATTGGTGCTTACTTTTCTTTGATCTAAATTTTTATAGTTTATCAATTTTATTAAAAGTTATATTTTTTTATTTTAATTATTTGCAAATAAATGATAAATATATTATTTGAATTAATCAACTTCTTAGATGCATAAAAAGTATATGTTTGTAAACATACTTAAATTAAAATTGTATTCATGTATATGTTTTTGTTCCTAAATATAAAAAATCAAAGTGAAATTACATACTTACCACTGGAAACTTATCAATTCACATATCCAACATCTAAAATTTTATATTTATTTTTCTAACATTCAAAACTCATTAACAACACACAGTAATTCATTCAAAGTTGTTCTCCGCTAAGGTTTAAAAGTTATAAGTTTAAGGCTTTGTCCACTTGCAAATAAGACAGGCTTAGACTACATCGTGCATTCATAGAAATATCCTTTTGGTAGTTGGGGACACTTTGTTACATAGGACCCGTTTGGCTATTGTTAAAAAGATATATATCATTAAAGAAATGTAGTACAAATGAAATGTAGTGTATTTGCAATATTTTGGAGTGTTTGGTTTGCTATGAAGTACATGCAAGTATTTTTACTTTTGTGTTTGATATGAAGAAAAATAAAACTATTAAGAAACATTCTATTAATCATGAAGGAAGAAATTGATTTTGTGTTTGATATGAAGAAAAATAAAACTATTTAGAAACATTCTAATATTGATTTTATGCATTCTCTTGTAAACATGCTAGCATGACTCACAATATAGAAGAAAGAAATCTTAACCAAATAACTTAACAATAACACAAAATAATTTGCACCCCCAAAATGTTTATGAATAATTAATGTTTGAAGAGAAAAGGCATCCCATAACTATTGTGCCCGCACTTTGCACACATCATAAAAAATCTTATTACTGAGTACTAATTATACTATAAAATTAAATCTCCAGCTTTATTTAAATAAACCTATCTTTTTCTAAATACAAGATTTTAGAAAATTTTCAAATTTTTTAAAGAGAAATAATCACTGCTAGATAGCATTCAATCTTCCACATGAATGATGCTCAGTATTGCCGCAGCAGCCAGGGATATCTGACACCCCGGATGACATCAATCATATAAGAAAATCTATCGGGAAAATTTCGCAGGTCCATATAATGATAGAAGAGGACAATATCACTACCACGAAGCTCCATCTCCCTAAAAAATTTGTTCCAACCCGCACTGAACACGTAAACCTGAGAATTATTCAGCAAACATAATTGAAATGCCCATGACCGATTCGTCCTGTCTTTAAATTCACACCATACTTCGCCTCTATAGGACTTCAATGGCTCAAAGCACAACTGAGCTTTAGTAGGTAAAATAAGAAAATTCTGATTCTGACATTCAGTCAAAAGTATCTCTTTACGAAACAATTCCTTAAAAATGAGCCCTTTTATGGCGTCCAAGGAAGTAGGCATTACTACAGAGTCACCATAGGGGATGTCATGACATCGATAGTAAAGGAAATTCTTATAATTGCGTTCGTAGGAGCCATCTTTAATCATATTAATGATGACTTCACTATTATGAATGCCATGAAAAAGGGGCTCATTAATAGTAACACCCGTTAACAACAAGTTGCGCATGAAATCATTGTCGAAGAGTTTGAGGGCCGCGCTATCGTAAGCTCTTGCTGCGGCTATTTCGGACTTAAACGTTCCCAACGGAATATCGTTGATTTTAGCGCCCCAATGACCATTTTCAAGAGAAAATACACCTTGGAACCATGACGATGCCGATTCCTGTTGCCCCACCTGTTGCCCTGCCTGTGAAGATGAAATCAAATGCGATAGGGCTTCATTTTGCTGAGTAATACTTACCCCTTGCTCTGCTTGTGTAGATGGAATCATAGACGATGCGGTCTCGTCAGATTGTTGTGGTATCTTTGACGATTTGGGGGTATTCATTGAAAATAGCTCCTTTTCCCTATGAGAGCTGCGCAAAGAACATCCATTTTCTTGATTTTTAGTTATACAAAGAATATTCCTCATGAAATATCCAATTAAAAAGAAAAAAAAAAAAAACTTTTTATAGCCAAATTTTAAACCACCGGTGGGCCCCCGGGGGTTCAGGGACTTACATTGTTGGCGTTGAGACTTTTGATTGAAGTTTGGGTTTTGACGGAGGAATGATGGGAATAATAGTCTGTGCATGGCAATCCAAAAGCTGGGAGATAAAGAGGAAAAGCCAGCCAAATTCTGGGCTCGAAATATGAAGAAATACATCCAAGGGGAAATATCGGTGAGAAGGAAACGGAGATTAAAATGGCTGATGTGTATTACCACTTCAATGTGCTGCGTGGCAGTGCAACAGTGAGTTTGTTTTGGAGAATGAATATTTCTCTTACCGTCTTGAATCCATTTCTTCATTAAAAACTATGTGACTTGTTCAAAGGAGTGCGTGGCATTTATTTGCTTAGCAATGCTTGCATGGAATGCTATCATTGGAAGGTCGACCGAATTTCTAGCTCTAACCATGCGAGCAATTACCATATAAATAAGTAATGTTAAACTGTAGATGGAATTTAAAATTAGGATAGTTGAGTCAGAGTTGTTTTGTGTTTGCTTAAAAATAATTAGCGAACTATTTTAATGAGCTCATATCCAAATTGGTAAGACCATGCATCTTGACGTATTAGATCTTAGACCGTCTAAGTTATAAATTATTTATATTCAATGCAACTAAAATATTGTTAGGTATGACTCATATACCAAATCAGGGATAGATGTTGGGGCGGAACGGAACGAGCGAGCGGAGTAGAGCGGAAACATCTGTCTAGTCAGGGGGTGTTTCGTTATGTGGGTTGGGTTGCGGGGTCAACACCCCCACGGTACGGTACATGAGTAATTTTAAAATTACATATTATATGTCAGAGATATATATATATATATATATATGATGTATTGTAATTCAATGATTAAATAATTTTAATTTCTTTATAAATTTAAATAACAATAATTTCCGCTGAAATATTAAAAATGAAATGCCGAGCATATAATATTGAAAATAAAATTACAAAACAAACAATCAATCTAACACGGTTCAATTTATGTGATTCAACGCATATTCTTCTACGTTCACAAGAACGATACAAGGGTCACTTTGTAATTATGTATTATTCGTCAGGGCTATATATATATGATGTATTGTAATCCTATGGGCATCACTTGTACGTTTTTTTTCTGAAATGAAGAAAAAGCCGCCGCTCTGCTTCCGATGACGTAGGTTTTTTTGTCGAACCTCATTAAATCTCTGTGTTTCTTTCTAGACTTGGGACGATTCTTGCTTTTCTTTGCCCTAAAATTCTCAACAAATATATTATAATTTGTAGTGATTCACATACATATCTCAAAAACTAAGATGATCATCGAGTAATTTGCGGGTTATTTTTGTATATTGCTACCATCGCATGCTCTTTAGAAATAAAATACGTGAGCCACATACATTTGAATGTTATGCTAATGATCTGATGAAAATAGAAACTATGATGATCATCAAGTAATTTACGGGTTGTGTCTTTACATCTAAGATGATATGATCTTAAGACGAACATTTTTATTTAAGCATTTAGAGTGTCCACCAAAAAATTTTTTAGGCTTTATGATTAGATTTAATAAATGCATTGAGATAGATCATTCTAAGACAAACTATTCCTGAAATAGAATCACCAAAGATTTTCATCTAATTGAGATTCTTATGATGAAGTTAGTCATTTTCTAAGGATACATGAAATACTGTAAAACAGATGTAAGTCCTATGCATTACTTCCTAAAAATAACTCATATTTGATAGTGTAATATAATAGGTAATTCCCTTACTCAAATTTCATAAAACCACTTAATATTAACTAGTGATTAAATTTAAACCAATAATTTAATTTAAATTAACTCCAAATTTCTATTTAAAGTTGCCTAAATCCCAACTAGGGGTGTAAACGAACTGAACATTAACGAACATAACTTGTGTTCGTGTTTGGTTTGTTTGAAATTATGTGTTTTTAAAATTATTCGTAAAGTTATTGTTTGTGTTCGGTTTGATTTATTTGAAATGTGTTAGAAATGATTGAAATGTTTGAAATGTTCAAATTGTTCGAATTATTTGAATTGTTTGAATTGTTCTAAATCTTACAAATTTATTTATATTATTTGAATTATTCAAAATCATTCAAAAGATTAAACTTATGAAATTAATGATTAAACTTGTATGAATCACAACACATGCAAAATAGTCGAAACATAGCTCACAATAAAACCATAATACCGTATCTCATACATAAAAAATTCAGATCTAGACGCAATATGCGAGATTTCACTCCTAAAAACTATGTTTAACTCAACGAAACTAAATAAATCTAAAAGAAATATAAGAAAACTTAAGCTAAGAAACAAACCTGAAGATAAATACGAAATTATAGAATTTAATATAAGCTAAGATGTGATCCTGAAGATCAGATTATAATTTATAGAATTTAATTTTTTAAAATATGATAAATTATATATATATAATTTTTTTAAATTATTTTATATTTCGAACACTAACAATTTGAACACAATCAACCCCATGATTGTTCGTGTTTGATTCGTTTATAAACTAAACGAAAAAAAAATTGAGTTTGTGTTTGTCTCGTTTGTTTATTGAACAAATCAAACACAAATTCTCCGACGAGCCGAACATGAACTGTTCGCGAAAAAAGTGCTTTTTTGACAGCCCTAATCCTAACTAACTACTATGAATATTCTCGAGGGGTGTCAAATAAAAAGAACACACAGAGATTTAACGAGGTTTTGCAAAGGTGCCTACATCCTCGGGAGCGAGTGATGAATTTAGTATTTCAGAGGGGGAGTTACATACTCATAGGGTTACACATCTATTTATAGATAAAACCATAACATACATAAGTGAATTAATAGCTGAAGCATGAGTAATCCAGGAAAGAAATATTGGGAAGCAGTGAAGTGGATCTTGAGGTACCTAAGAGGCTCTGCAGAAACTTGCTTGTGTTTAGGAAAGAGTTTTCTTAGGAAAGAGTTCAAAGGTACTGATATCATAAAAGTACTCAAATGTTTATCAAATGTCATATGATCGAAGAAAGTTCTCTAGATTGTCCCTACAAGTTAGTTCAAATTTCATCATTAACTGCACCCAGAAAACTATAAAAAGATCCCCACCTCTCTCATGGGAGAGGAGAACTTGAGACTTGAGAAAGAACTTGAAGCTTTGAGAAAAAGATGAAATATTACACCACTCCTACTATCGTCATTCATCGCTGACGGTCATTGACACTGCCGACCGTCATTGACCACCACTTGTTGGTCTCCAACGATCGCCATCGACAGCCGTCTACTTTTTACAATAAGTTCATTTGTGCACTGATGTTGTAACTTTAAAGAATGTTCAACACTTTCCCACCCATGGGACGAGAGACTGTATATGTAATATCCAATTTATAGTGGTTTCTTCAGCTAGGCTAGGCCCCATGATTTTTTCTTTTTTTAGGTTTTCACGTATAAATTTCTAGTGTCATTACTAGCTATTTTCTCTCTTGTAGTGTGTGTTGAATATTCGTACCACGTTAAGAGGATAATCTGTTATTCTTCTGCCTCAAATTTTCTTACACAAATTAATAATGATGCACCACCTCCTTTTTCTCTTTCAAGATTCAACTTAAAATGGCAACCATATAATTTACTATTTCGATAAATTTTTTGTAGTAATTTCATAACGCAATATTAAATGTGTTATATTAGAATATATTCTAACGGTAGACATAGGATTTTAAAAGATCCTTGTTTTATTTCATTGTTCTATAGCTTTTCTCAAGGGTTATGTATATTTTATATCTACTTTAATTTTAACATAATCTAATTTAATTGGTGTTTAATTTTCTCCGATCTATATTTTTATAGTTTATAAATTTTATTAAAAGTTATATTTTTCATTTTTAATTATTTGCAAATAAATGTTAAATATATTATTTGAATTAATCACCTTCTTAGATGTTTACAAAGTATATGTTTGTAAATTTATTTAAATTAAAATTGTTTTCATGTATATGTTTTTTTTCCCTAATTTAAAAAATCAAAGGGAATTTACATACATACCACTGGAAACATATCAATTCACATATCCAACATCTAAAGTTTTATATTTATATTTCTAACACTCAAAACTCATTAACAACACACTGTAATTCATTGAAAGTTGTTGCTCTCCGTGAAGGCTTAAAAGTTGTAAGCTTAAGGCTTTGTCCACTTAACAAATAAACATGACATCATGAGACATAAAATAAGAGAAAGACATCTTAACTAAATCACTTAACAATAAAACAAAATAATTTGCAGCCCTAATTGCGTATGAATAATCAATGCCTGAAAATCCCATAAGTATTGTGTTTGCACCTTGCACATATCATAAAAAATCTTATCATTGAGTACTAATTACAACATAAAATTAAATCTTCAGTTTCAATCAAATAAAACTAATCTTATTCTGAACATAAGATCTTAGAAAAATTTCAAAATTTTTGAAGAGGAATAATCACTGCTAGATAGCATAATGCGGCTCAATACCGCCGCTGCATCCAATGATTTTTTGCACCCCGGATGACATCAATCATACTAAAAAAGCTACAAGGAAAACTTCTCATGTCCTTACATCGATAGAAGAGGACAATATCATTAACGCGAAGCTCCACCTCATTGAAAAATTTTTTCCAACCCGTGGTGATTACATAAGTCTGAGGATTATTCGTGGGACATAATTGAAACTCCCATGACCGATTCCTCCTATCTTTATATTCAAACCATAGCTCGTCTGGGTTGGAGTTGAATGGCTGAAAGCACGACTGAGCTTCATTTGGTAAAACCAATAAATTCTCATTCGTAATGTCACCCATAAGCAACTCTTTACGAAACATTTCCTTAAAAAGGACACCTTCGATGACGTCCAAAGAACTAGGCATTACTATAGAGTCACTATAGCGGAAGCTAGGGTAGTGATTCGAAAGAAACTCGATATAATTGGGTTCGTAGGAGCCATCCCTAATCATATTAATGATGACATCAGGGTCGTACATGTTCTGAAAAATGGGTTCATGAATAGTGACATTCGTTAACAACAAGTTACGCAAGAATTCATTGTTGAGGAGCTTGAGAGCCGCGCTATCGTAAGCTCGTGCTGCGGCTATTTGAGAGTTGAACGTTCCTAGCAAAATATGATTTTTTTGAATGAAGATTTTAGCCCCCCAATGACCATTTTGCTGACAAAATACTCCTTCAAACTTCGACAATGGCAGTGTAAATTTCAGTTGCCCTGCATGTGAAGATGAAAT